AAGAACTTAAAACTTTTCTAAAGATGTAAAGGCAGAGGAGAAGAAAGGAAAAGAGGAAGTAACTTGAGGAATGCTTAGAGAAGCAATAAATTTCCAAATAAGGAAGGGGAATAAGCTATGACCTAACACTTGCCTTGGCTTGTCCAGGCATATCAGGGAAAATAACTAGGTTAAGGTGTAAAAACTAAGAACACAGGATACACTTATTTCTTTATTATGACTGACAGCTACTTTAAGATTATTAGCAAGAGCATTAAATTGACCTTTGAAGAAACTTATTTATTCATAATGAACTAAAACGAAAGCTTTGAAGAGAAACATTATACTCTTATTTACTACAGTTGGCCAGGCTGGTCTTGAACTCCTGACCTCAGGTGGTCCTCCAGCCTTGGCCTGCCTAAGTGCGGGGATTACAGGCATGAGCCACCACTCCTGGCCAAGGTTCCAGATTTCACCTGCAGCTTCTGGACAGAGAAAGATGTCCTGGTCACTGGTATCTCCTCCTTATTATCAGAAACTATAGGGAGAAAAAGTATTTTCCTTCAGCCCTTCTTGGTTCTCCTCTGGGGCCTGTAACAAAAGATGAATTAATGAAAAAAAGCATATAAATTTATTTAATATAGGTTTTTATTATTATCAAACCTATATACAGAGAAGAGAAAACAGAGAGAAAAAAAAATCGCAGTAAATACTCTTGCTGGTCTTATACTGTTGCTCATTTTCTGGCATTCCAAAATCTCATTTGCAGATTTTTGTGTAAACATTGTTTAAAGGATCCATTGGTTAACAAAGAAAATTTTGTTTTGTAATTTTAATTTCTTTGATTACTTTAGAATTTAGAATGATTTTATTTGCCAAACATATTTTTTCCTGTATCAAGTGATTGCTGTTGGGAAAAATCTTCTATCTCTTTTTCCTGTCTCTAGAACATGGTTTTCTCTGTGGCTTGGCATATTAGAATTGTTCCTTTTAGGCAAATCTTGAATAAGCCTTCTCAAATAATTTGACAGAAGCAAAATGGTGCTCTCACCTGAAATGCCACCTGTACTAGATTGGCATTGTAAATGAGACTATAGATCTTAGAATAATTTCTGAAGAAGCCTCTATATATTGACCTCAGAAATGGTACCATATTATGGAATCTAAGACAATTTAGTTATTTTATTAGGTACGACTTAGTTCTAAATAGAGAGCAAAGTGTTATTGATAGAGACAGGAGGCAGGGAAATTCTGGGCAGAAGATAGCAGGTCCCTGGTGAGGACCCCACCCTCAAGCCTGGAATCACAGCCCAAAGTGAAAACATGCATTCCTGTTCTCCTGCTCCCACACTGCCTTTTCTAAAACTACCCATGGCCCACTCCATCCCTCATCCTGTAACCCATAAAATCCCCAGGCTCCACCAGCAGAGGAGGAGAGGCAAAGGAGAAGCAGGTAGACATCAGAAACTATGGGTTGACATCAAAGACAAGTAGCTTGACTTCAGAGGGACAGTGTTGCTTTGGAGAGGAGTCCTGCTGAGGACAGCTGGATGCTAGGGGAAGATCACCTTCCTGCTCCATCCCCCCTTTAGCTCCCCTTCCCCCTTAAGAGTCAGTTTCCTCAGCAATAAAATCCTCCACATTAGCCACCCTTCAATTCATCCATGTGACCTTATTTTTCCTGGATGCCAAATAAGAACTTAGGTGTCATGGGTATAGATGCTAAAGGCTGTTATCCTGACCCTCTGTCCTCACTGGTGGAGAACAATCACCTCATGTGAAAAACCAGAGGGCCCACTGAATTAACACCTAAACCACTGTGGATGGCAAAGCTAAAAGAGCACTGTAACCTGTGCCCTCTGGGGCTTTGAGGATTGTGGGTACTCCCTGCTAGACACTACCACAGGGCTTACATGGAGTTTCTGCTCCTGCCGGTGCCCAAAATGACCTGACTCCTGCACCTTCTCACCTGCATGCTCCTTCCTGCAAGGGGTTGAGAGCAATGCCTTCAAGTGAGTGGAGTTTGCCCTTGCTGGCATCAAAGCAGCCAGCTAACCCCATTGTCTGCACTCCAGTTCCCAACCCCAAAGGGGTAAAGGGAAATGTCCTGCTTCATTATAAAATGGAACCGACAATGAATAAATTTTGCTTTATTCATCAAACACTAGAACTCAAAAGAAGAATAGAAGTCAATGAATTCAGTTATTAACCAAATTAATTTAGAAGAATTTCCCTTTTGGTGTCATTGTTGGGAAAGAGAGACAAGCTGAATCAGTCCGGCTTCTGGCTTCTTGAATGTTTTTTTCACCATTGTGTTTCTGTAGGTTTCTTTTTACATTTTGTTCTTCTTTATTAGATGAAAAAGTACTAAAAATGATGTAATCTAAATATTTCATTTTAAACAAGTAGAAAATATGTTTCTAAGGGAGTAAATTATTTTACCAAGTTATAACTCTAGTACAAGACATATATGGAACTAGTACCAGTGTTTCTTGAGTTTTAGTGCACCATGATTTCATTTCACTTTTTTATTCTGTTGATGGTCTAAGAACTCAACTGGAATGCCATAATAGAACATGAAGGCTTGACAAAAATCGAAAAAAAAAATGAAAGAAATAAACCATATAGAAGACTGAGATCATTAATGGTTAGTATTTTCTACTGAATTTTGCCTTCATGTAATTATTTATCGACCTATTTGAGTATATTGTGAATATCAAATGAAGTGATAGAGATATAATTTTGGTCATAATCCCTGGGTTATTAATCTAGATCAGGGTTTGTCAAACTTAGCACCAGTGAAATTTTAGGTTGAATCATTTTTTGTTATTGCTGTCCTTTGCTTTATAAGATGTTTAGCACCATCTCAGCCCTCAACCCACTAGACACCAGGAAAGATACCAGTCACGACAATTAAAAATGTCTCCAGACAATGCCAGATATATCTGGGGGGTGACATCATCCTAGCTGAGAATCACTAATCTTGATGACATAAGATCTAAATTAGAATTGAGAGACCTAACTGAAGTATCTGAACATATGATAATTTTCATTTATGGCCATTTGTTGTGAGGTTTTAAGCAATACAATAAGCTATTTTAGGAATTCTAAGAATTATAACTGGGACTGTAAGAAGTGAGGAAAGTGTGGGATCATGGCTTAATGCAAAGAGGTAAAGCAGGCTGAATGTGAGTTGACTATATGCCTGGTGGGTGTGATGAGTCAGGAAAAATGTTTAATATGGTAATTTAATAGAACTCAGCTCTTGGTAATTTCTGTATGTGACCCTAGAAATTTTGAGCATAAAATAATTAAGTATTTGTCTTTCATGGCTGGGCGAGACATGTTTTATAGTGGAAAATGGAAAATGTCATGAAGAAAGGACTGTCTTGCAGAAGGCTATAGCATTGTATGTAGCTTCCATCTCGAACTTATTCCTTTACTACCTAAAACCAGAGAAGTTTGTAAATCAGTTTCCCATAGTTACAATAAAAGTAAGTTATTTGTTGGCTTATTTATTTTTTAGTCACATTTTACTTTATATTGAATAAACACCTGCTATTTTCAGTGAGGAATTACTCTTCTATCATGAGCAGAGTTCTAGTGTGTGTCTTAACCACAATGTCTGATCACTTCCTGGAGGAAAATATAGCTCAATTTTGCCCAATCAGATTATGTTTATGATTTTTAAATATCTTCTATGGACATTGGCATAGAGATCTCTATTGCTTTGTATTTTGACCTTTAAGGACTCTGTAAGGCAGCTGTCTGCTATTCTTGCTTGTCTTTCATGCAGGTGCAGAGAGCCTGGCCACATTACAAGAAGGAATCGAGTGAACGAGCAAAGAGATACAAAGGTAGGTGAACTCTGATAGAAAAAAAAAAAAAGTCTCATGACTTTTTCAAGCACCTAGATACAGCCATATCTGAAGCTAGTTTTTTCCTTTGGCTATCTGGTAACATGAGTCAACAAAATTCCATTTTTGCTTCATCTAGTTTGCACTAGGTTTGCATCACTTGCAGAGGAAAGAGATCTGCTGATTACAGTGAATATTCTCATTGAGCAAATGTGGACAATAAATTAGAAATGCAAATAGACAGCAGAGTGACAGATACACAGATAAAAGACAAACAGGTCTAACAAGAAGGGGTAGAAAGCCCCTTGAATTTTAATGCAGAAATAATGAACAAATAAAGAGGGAGTGATGGGTTATCTTGCAAGCTTGTTCTTCAAGGACAAACAAGGCATCAGAGAAAAATGACCTCATAGCAGATTGAAATAGAGACGATAATGGAGGAGAAAAATTTCCAGAATCAAACTGAAGACTTTGTCCTTCTGTTCACCTACTGTTTGCACATTCTAATGGTGGAAGACCAATTGTTCAACCCAACTGTGTGAAAATGTTACAATTTAGTTTTTTCTGCCAGCATTATACATTGTTTGTTAAAAAGGAGGGATTATAATTTGATAAAGACTGCATCTCTGGACTTAAAAAGAGATTAGTCTAAGGAAGAAAGAAATAGTGAAAGGATTCATGCATAGTATGGTCGCTATCAAAATGCGGGCAAGCACAGAGTGAGATGGGAAATGTGCCTTATTACTTACGGTTTCTGCAGTTGTAAGAGACGGAAAAAAAAATCAAGTCAGCTTAGGTGGGGTGTGGGACGGGTGAGAAACAACTTGCATGGCAGAATGCATTCAGGTACAACTAGACCCAGGAGTTCAAACCATGGCCCCAGGACCCTTATCTACCTTTCTCTTAATATCTCAGTCTTAATTTTGTTTTGAGAGAGAGTTTTGCTCTTGTTCCCCAGTCTGGAGTGCAATGGCACAATCTCGGCTCATGGCAACCTCCACCTCCCGGATTCAAGAGATTTTCCTGCCTCAGCCTCCCGAGTAGCTCGGGTTACAGGCATGTGCCACTGTGCCCAGCTAATTTTGTATTGTTAGTAGAGACTGGGTTTCTCCATGTTGGTCAAGCTGGTCTTGAACTTCTGACCTCAGGTGATCCGCCCGCCTTGGCCTCCCAAAGTGCTGGAATTACAGGTGTGAGCCACCATGCTGGGCCAACCTCTTATTTTGCTTGCTTCTACATTGGCTTCATCCTCAGGAAATTTCTCTTCATACTGTGGCAAAAAAGACTATTGTCAGCCTGGGGTAAACATCATTACAAGTCATGAATCCAATAACAAGGGTTACCTCTCTTTCCCACATGAGTCTGATGGACTCTCCTGTAGTCTTAGGTTTATTTTTGAACCAATCATTGTTTCTAAGAGGTTGTGCTTCAGTCACATTCGTGTGCTACATCTGCATCTAGGTGCTGGAACTCAGACTGTCAGATCCAGCATGATCAGGAGAAGTAAGATGGGGAGAGTGATCCAAAGGAAAAAAGGCCATGCAACCAAAATTATTCACTATTATTATTTTTTGTCTTCATTAGCATTATTGCAAATGTCCTAGCAAATACCAGGTGGAACACGTATGTTGTCAGGTAATATCTATCCTATCTGTTACAGAGTTAAGTATTCATATGACCACTGTTGGGTTAGTATTAAAATCAAGAGGACACATTAGTATAGAAATCTGTGTAACTATAAAGGTACTTTTTAGCAAAATGACTAAGGTCTAGATATGCATAAATGTAATCTATGATTTATTGAGTATTTATTATGTGCCGGTAATTGTGTTAAGTAAACACTTAAATTGCCTTATTTGTCCTCCCAAAATTTGTAAGGAAAATAGTACTGTCCTTCCCAAATTGGAAATAATATTCAGTGAAGTAATTTATAAAACAAGCAAGTGGCAGAGATTGGACTGAAACACTGGAAGTGTAAAACCAAAACTTGAATATTTAATATGCTTTCATTTAGGGTGACCCATATTTTATCTTCCTATCCTTAAATGGTTATTAACAACACATGTCCAGGTTTGGACAATAATTATATGATCACCCTGCCTCTTCCATTTACTTATATGAACTTCCTCTTCCATGTACTTATATGAACTTCCTCTTCCATGTACTTATATGAACTTCCATATGTTTTACGTATGTCTTACTCAAAGTGATTTTAATTAACCTTTTTTTAAGTTGTTTTAACTCTTCATAATTCAATCTTTTGATTTCATGAAGTCGCTAAAATATTCTTTTAGTTATAATTGAGTCATAAGTGCCCAAACTCTGTCATGCATATCATACATTTTGAGTTGCTCTGCAAGTAAGTATTCCGGTTGTTAACGACTTGATTCTATTGGGTTACCTTTAATAGACTGGGTGTTTCTCCATCTATTTTTCCTGACTGGATTAACCAGGACATGCAGCTCTACCATCCCAGGGACTTTTAACTTTGTCCCATACATAAAAGCTTGAGGATGAGCCAGGTGTAGTGATTTTTGCCTATAATCCCAGCACTGTGAGAGGAGGATTGCTTGAGGTCAGGCATTCACATCCGGCATGGGCAACACAGATGCCATCTCTACAAAAATTAAAAGAAATAGAAAAAGAAAAGAAAAATCAATTGATGATAAGCAAAAGTTTAATTCTACTGTCAGAAAAAAAGAATAACAAAATAAGTCACAGGAACCAATAGCTTACCTCATAACTGCTGAGTGTGTGAAAAGAATGTGAAAAAACTGGCATGACTTTGGCAAATATGGCATAGAATAAGCTATTCGGGATGAAATTATGGAAGGTTACTTTCTAAAGAGCAAGGAAAGCAAGAGAATTGAATGATATTTTATCTTCAAATATTTCTGAGGTGTGCTCTTTTCTTCAGTCACTGAAGTAGGAGCAAGACATGTATGATCCTAACTTTCTAAGTGAGACTTTATCAATGTGGGAAAGAGATTTCTAATGCAGTTTTTATCATTGCCTTCTTACAAGTTGTAGTTATAACATTAACTGCTGTTAGATTTATGGAAAAATAATTTGTTTTACAAGAAGCAGCACAAATATAAATATAACAGTTCATGAGGAGACATTATACAAGTTTATATTTTATCAATAGTTGTAAGAATCATGACATGTAATTAGAGCTGAAAGAAATGTTAAAACTCAGAGGTAAAAAAAATCCCTTCAGTTTATAAATGAGATAAATGTATAAAACCACAAGATATTTTTAACATTTTGCATCAAATTTATTGAGGTATAATTTAGATAAATAAAAAAGCAAATATTAAGAGTATAGGTTGATGAGTTTGTAAATATATAAAGATAAAATTTATAGAATAACAACTACCACAAACAAGGTATAGCTTAGTTCCTGTACAGTTATCTCATACCCTTATTTACTAAATCTACTTCTTAACCCTACAGCTGGGCTGATCAGCTATTACTAAACATTAATTTTGACTTTTGCAGCATTTCATATAAAAGGTCTTATATGGCACATACTTTTTTATCTGTGTTCTTTTACTTTGCTATAACATTTTTGAGATTTACCTATATTGTGCATATTAATAGTTTGTTATTTTCTTATAGCTGAGTAATATTCCACTGTAGGGATATAAGACAATGTATTTATATTGTTGATGACCATTTCAGTTGTTTCCATTTTGTGACTGTTTTGAATAACATTACTATAAGCATTCAAATAGACACCTGTGTGGACATACATTTTTATGTCCTTGAGTAAAAGCAGAAATGTTGAGTTGCATTTTAAGTGTATGCTTAACCGTTTAAGAAACTAAAGAGTTTTCTAAAGTGGTAATGCCCTTTTGCAGTCTGACTAGTAGTATATAAAACGACCATTGCCTCCAAGTCCTGGCCAGCTTTTGGAATGCTGAGTCTCTCTCTCTCTCTCTTTTTTTTTTTTAATTTTGGCTATTCTAACTGGTAGTGGTATCTCTTCATGGTTTTAATTTGCTTAGATGTTGAACATCTTTTTGTGTGGCTATTATCATCTGCATAGTAAATATATGTTATTTTTCTTTGCACGTGTGCCTATGTGTATATTATATAACTTAACTGTACACAATAATAAGCAAATATGTTTTGTGAAATGTTCTCCATTCTATTTTTCCTAAGAGTCTTGAGGATGGGCCAGGTGCAGTGACTTATGACTGTAATTCCAGCACTGTGAGAGGCCCAAGTGGGATGATTGCTTGAGGTCAGGCATTCGAGTCCAGGATTGACATTTTTTCCTTAAATGTGTGATAAAATTTATCCAGATCTGAAATTTTCTTTGTGGAAACTGTACATATATATATATGATTTTATTTACCTTATTTTAACAGTTTTGTTGAGATATATTTCACTTATCATAAAGTCCATCCATTTAAACAGTACAATTTTAATAATTTTTACTATTGTTACCAAGCTGTGAAACCATCACCATAGTTAGTTTTAGAACATTTTCATTTCCCTCATAAGATCTGTCGTGCCCATTTACAGTTAATTATAATTCCCACCTCCATCCCCAGGCAAGAGTGGGAAAGGTTTATATCTCTTAAATGTACTTTATGATTACAAACAGTGGGTTTTTAATTTAAGAGGCATCAACATTTTGGAGGGGTGGTTTGTGGCAGTTTTAGTAAATTGTGCCTTTTAATAAATATGTTCATTTCATTTGGTTATTCACTTGTTGGACATAACATTGCTCATAACATTTTCTTATTTATTTAGAGACAGAGTCTCACTGTTGGCCAGGCTGGAGTGCAATGGTATGGTCTCTGCTCATTGCAACCTCCACCTTCCAGGTTCAAGTGAACTTCCCACCTCAGGCCACCAAAGAGCTGAGACTGCAGGCATACACCACTACACCTGGGTAATTTTTGTATTTTCAGTAGAGACAGGGTTTAGCTATATTGCCCAGGCTGGTCTCAAACTCTTGGCCTCATTTGATCCGCTCACTTCAATCCCCCAAAGTGCTGGGATTACAGGTGTGAGCCACTGTACCCGGCCTCTTCATCTTTTGAATGAGTATAGAGTCTAGAGCAATGTTCACTCATTTTATATTGGTCATTTTTCTCTTCTCTTTTAATATGTCCAACTATACATTATCAATTTTATTATTCTTTTCCAAGAACAGCTTTCGTGTTATTGATTTTTTTCTCTATTTTTACACTTTTTTATTATTGAGATGCTTTTTATTATTTTTTTCTACTTTGAATTAAATATGTTTTTCTAATATAAGGATTTAAGTTTTCAATATCTTCTCAAGACATACATTAGCCACACACTACAAATTTAAATAGGTTGCTTTTGTTATGTCATTTAAAATATTTTCTGGTATTTTTTAAAGAAATAAATATTTGTTTGAACTGTAGGTTATTTGATATTATATTGTTTCATTTTTAAATGCAAGGATATTTTCTTACTTTATTTTTAATTTAATGTCCTCATTGTCAAAATTAGTTCAATTTTTTAATGTACTCAGACTTATTTTATAGAATAATATAGAGTCTATTTTGATCAGGGTTCCATGTATCTTCAAGTTCTTTGACCTTTTCTTTTGCAATGTGCAACTGCTGTTACATATAAGCAATGAATTTCAGATATTTTATTTCCTATATTGTATTTTTCAGCTCTATATATTTCCATTAGTTCTTTATGTTTTCACTTTTCTTCTCATTATGCTCATGTTTTCCTCAAATTCTTGAGAATATTTAAATTAGTTGTTTATATTAGTTTTAGTGGCTTGAAACAACAGTCATTTGTCTTACAGTTCTGTAGGTTGAACTACAGAATGAAATCTCTCTCATGTTTTGGATCTCTCTGACTTCCTCTTTTGCAACCAGTCAGAGAAAAGCCTCCATATTTAAAGGATTCATGTGTTTAGGTTAGGCTCATCTGGAAAATTTCTCTATCTAAGCCAACTGATTAATAACCTTAATTATGTCTGTACAAGCTCTATTGTCAGTAATAGAACCACTGGGGTTATTTTAGTATTCTGTCTACCTTGCTGTTCTATTTGTCTGGTGATTCCAAAATATGTAATTCCAAAATCTGCTTTTATTTTTCTCCTACTTTTTAACATGCCTTATAATTTTCATTAGATTCTGTACAATGTAAATGTAACAGGGTTAAGTGTCAGTATTTCACTGTCTACCTTTAAAAATTGTTAAACTTTTTTTAAGCAGGCTTACGTTACTTGCAGAACAGCATGAACCTTTCCAGACTTGTTTCTAAGATGTTTTAGGGTGGGTATTTATCCCTATTACTAAAGTGTAATCTTTCTAGACTCTCTTCTAAATGCTCTGAGGATTCAACACAGGCTCTACAAATGTCTCCTAGTCAACAAGGGTCAGAGCACAAATGTCTCCTGGTACTGCATGAGCTCTGATGCAGTTCCCAAATAGCTGTTGTTTTCCTGGTGTCCCAAATCCTCATCCTATGTTTTCACAGTTTAGTGTTGAGATAAATCTTAAGGGAACCTCATACAGGTTTCTGATCCTCTTTTCATGTGTAGCCTTCATCTTGTGTATCTTGTGTGTGTAGCCTTTATCTTGCATGTGTAGCCTTTATCAAAACACAGGTGATAGCCTCCTTAACCTCCCTGAACTCTGATCTCTATCCTCTCACATTTTTATATTGGTCAGCTTAGCTCTGAATAGTGGCATGAAGCAGAAAGTCATGACATTCATAGAGCTCTCCTAATTTGTTCCTTTTCTTTGGGAATCATGGTCCAGAGTTGCTAATTAACCCAATGGCTTAAACAAGTTCTTTCGTATATTCCGTCTGATTTTCTAATGATTGGGAGTAAGTGAGAGGGAAAGTCTGGAACCAATTAGTTCACCATGATGAAGCAAACATTCTCAATCGAGATTGATTGGCTGAATGAATGTGCACAAGAGCTTACCTTCTACCATCTCCCACAGAAATGAGGCTAGATCCCAATTTTTATGGTTTATACATATCTTGTGTTGTTTGTGTGTGTGTGGGGGGGTGGGATCTGAGGGACTGAACAATCAAAATCATAAAATAAAGAACTTGTATGGCCAAGACACTAGCATCAAAATGTCTTACATATTTTCTATGTAGAAAGGATAATGAAAAATGGGCCAAAATCACAAAGAATCAAAACTTGTAAGAAACATACTTGAATCACTAAGGAGATATTGTTGATTCTTAAATGAGGGAAATATTAAAGTAGATGGTCTCATAAGACATATTAAAACATATTAAGACATTTGCCAGAGGGAATTGCCCAATATTTCAAACATTTTAGAAATAGATCTATAATATCTCAGTTGACTGCACTGAAAGACACAAAGCTTATTTGGATGGCCAAGTTTTTGTATTGTGAAAATAGTATTATTATAAAATCTAAAGTACTCAGTTAATATTTACTGAATCAAGTAATAACCAGAATGGAAAACATGCCCTCAACTCACTTCAAACAAAGCACTGAACTTGAGCTTGATTCAGGTAGGTTTTAAACTTGACATCTTTAGGGTTTTAGGGGTGGTTGAAAGCAGCATCTCAATAAACTACAACAAGACATCACACAGGGAGAAGGTCCTAACAAAGACGAAG